GGAACCATAACCACCTCATTATTCTTGCTTAAGTTTCTTCACTTGGCCCCTACCACCACAGGGTCCAATCTGCCCCATTGTAGTTAGGTTTCTTAATTCAGTTAGGGCAATTCTCACTGTCAAATCTGACTTACGTGAAATAGGAATCACAGCAGTCTTCGAGGATACTGGGGCTCTCTTCACAAATTTATTCCTTGCCTTTGTGGTAAAAGGTGTGTCCTTGGGCACTCCTCGTGTGGATATGTGGGTCTAACCTGATAAACCCACTCTAACATCCTAATTTCCCTAAACATTTTGATACCTTCTTCTATAGTATACCAAGACAGGTCTGGTACTTCAACTTGATTTAGTGTGCACCACCACATAATTCAGACTTCAGCAACACAACCAAGTAAACAGTTAGATCCTTCTCTAACCTCTCGAGCTGAAACATTGAATGAATAGTCAATAGGGGCCCATATCAATAAACTCAGATGGATCCAACTTTATGTTCCTTGCATCATTATCCCACACCCTTATTAGCCATTCCCACACATATTCCCCAGGATTCTGTTTGTATATACTAGAAAAGTCAAGCAGTTCTTTTGGAGTGTAGCATACCTCCTTCTGGATCACACTTTGTACTTCACCTTTTGGGGCTCACTGGGTCTTATGCCTAGTTATAGGTCTAGAAGCAAAAAATGAGTGGTGCCGTTGGTCCTGGAAACATTCAGCAATGTCTTGTAAGGCATCTACCTCAGGCACTGCCCCAGGTGATATCTCAGACAAAGACTCTTTAGGTACAGCTGGGTTAATCTCATCAGATAGGGGTGAAAGGGATAATGATTTTTCAGGGGAGGGTGGCTTATCAGACAAAGGTGGAGAGATCTCTTCAGATGGGAGTAAGAGGGCTGGTTCTTTTTGCAGGAGTTATTCAATGCAATTTAGCAGCTCAGTATCCCCAGCTTCCTGATCATCTGCTCGTATGTCCCCATCCCAAGTTTCTGGATCCCATTTCTTCCCAATCAATGCCCTCACTTTAACTTCAGACACCATTCGAGGTTGAGAATTTAATTAGCATTGTAATTCAGCCACTGTTATGGTAAAACTCTGGGTTTGTTTTTTGGCAATATCAGCTCTGTTACTACAAGACGTAAGGCTTTCTTTCAGGGCACAAGTAGCAACTTTAAGGTCTTTTTTGTAACACTTGAGCTGTGACATTCTTCTGAGCTCATCTCTTTCTTTCACCACTTTGTCTAGCAAAAGTAGGACCAACCAATCATCTTCCCTATACTTCACATTCTGACAAAATTGTAGAAAAGTATCAAACATGCGATTACACAAAACCTTGCCTCTCACCACTATGTGATCTATTGGTGATGATATTTTGTGTATTAATATCACCACCTCATTCCATGACTTAGCAGCACCCTCTTCACTACTGGAGACAGAATCATCAGCACCTGTAAGACTAGTCAGACTTGAGAACCAATTTAGAAAACTCATCCTTAAGATTTTGCTGCTCTAGAACCACTCTCCATACCAAATTTCATAGGCTGGGCTCTCTAGAAATCAAAACTAGTGAAGCGTTTTTGAGAGAGAAAGAGAGAGAGAGAGAGATTTATCTCAAGGAAATGGCTCACGCATCTGTGGAGGTGGGCAAGTCCCAAAGTCCGTGGGTTAGGTGTTGGCTAGAGGCTTCTCCTGACTCACGTGGTTGTAGGGGCTGATAAACCCAGAACCGGTAGATCAGATGACAGGCTGCTGGCTCACAAGGCTGCACAGCTGGTAAATTCCAAAGTTGGAAGGTCAGACAACAAGCTGCTGGCTCAAGTTCCAAGAACCAGAGGTCAGATGATGATGAGCCAGAAACAGGATCCAGAGCAAGCAAGCGAGCTTTACCAGAATGTCCATATATATGTATATTGGATTCAGTCCACACCCTCAAGAAACTCCTCTTACAACTGATTGGCTGATCAAGTCAGATCACATTATGGAAGTGATTACATTATATTACTATCATGGATTGAATTGTGTCCCCCCAAAATATCTGTCAATTTGGCTAGGTCATGATTCGTAGTATTGTGTGATTATCCACCATTTTATCATCTGATGTAATTTTCCTATGTGTTGTAAATTCTATCTCTATGATGTGATGAGATGGAATTAGTGGCAGTTATGTAGACTCAATCTACACAATTAATCTACAATTTAAGCCAATCTCTTTTGAGATATAAAAAAGAGAAGTGAGCAGAGCAACATGGGAAACTCATACCACCAAGAAAGCAGCACCAGGAGCAGAGCACATCATTTGGACCCAGAGTTCCTGCATTGATAAACTCCTCGACCAGGGGAAGATTGATGACAAAGACCTTCTCCCAGAGTTGACAGAGAGAAAAAGCCTTCCCCTGGAGCTAATGACCTGGATTTGGACTTTAGCCTATTAGGCTATGAGAGAATAAATTTCTCTTTGTTAAAGCCATCCACTTGTGGTATTTCTGTTATAGTAGCACTAGATAACTAAGACAATTACTTACAGGAGGTCACAAAATAGAGGATAATTACATCAGATCACAGAAAATGGAAGATAATTACACCAGATCACAAAATGGTAGATAATTACATAATACTGAGAATCATGGCCTAGCCAAGTTGACACATAACATTAACCATCACACACATAGTGAGCACTTAAAAGTATATGTGGAATAAACCAAAAAACAAGTTGCCATCGAGTTGTCTTCAACTCATGGCAACTCTATGTGTATCAGACTAGAACTGTTCTCCATAGGATTTTCAATGGCTGATTTTTTAGAAGTAGGTTGATAGGCCTTTCTTATGAGGCACCTCTGGGTGGACTTGAACGTTTAATCTTTTAGTTAGCAGCAAAGCATGTTAACCTTTTGAACTACCCAGGGACACCTATTTGTGGAATAAGTGACTAGGAATTATTATTCACATTTTATAATCAAGGAAATCAGTTTGAGGAAGTTAAGTGTTGCCCCAAGTCAGTGGAGTGACTGCACACCCGTGTCCCACCAGCACCTCTCCTGGGGGAGATGACCCTGGGGACCTGAGATGTGATGAACAAAATCTAGACCTCAGTAGGGCCTGGAGCAGAGGCCCAGATGGTTAGGAAATGGAATGAGCCCCACAAGAGTTAAGCAGCTGCCTGGTGGATCCAACAGTCCTGGTGCTCAGAGGCTGAGCTGAACTAGGAACTCCAAGGCTCAGGAGCTAAATCAGCCTGACCTCAAATTAAAAGACATGATAACAATAGTAGCCAACATTTATTAAATCTTTACATTGTGTCATATACCTTACATGTCTTATCTCGTTGAATCCTCCTAACAAAATCACAAAGTAGGGCCTATTATTAGACCCTTTTTACAGAGGTGGAAAACCGAGGCCCAGACAGACGTTACTTAAACCAGTGATGAGACTTGAACCCAGCTTTGTCTCAAGGGTGTGCAACCTGTATAGTCACATAGGGTCCTGTGCTTAAAGGGCCCTGTGCTTGGTTTAATGCTCTATTGTTGCTGTCTTGAAATTCTTAAGAACTTTTGAACAAGAGACTCCACATTTTCATTTTGCACTGGGCCCTGCAAATTATATAGCAAGTCCTAGGCTGAGCCAGGAGTACCTGGATGGTGCAAATTGTTAACATGCTTGGCTGTTGACCCACAGGTTAGACGTTTAAGTCCACCCAGCGGTGCCTTGGAAGAAAGGCTTGGTAATCTACTTCCAAAAAACCAGCCACTGAAAGCCCTATGGAACACAGTTCTACTCTGACACATATGGGGTTACCATGAGTTGGAGTCGACTTGATGGCAACTAATGCTGGTGATGGTGGGCTGAGTCTTATGACTTCTACATTTAATACTCACAACATCCTTATGGGAAGGGTCGTCTTAGCAACCTTGTTTTGGAGAAGAGGAGACTGAAGCTGACAGAGCTATGGCCTTTGGCATGGGCACCCAAGTGTCCGAGTCAGAACCTAGCATCTGGGAGTCCAGAGCCTGGGAGCTTAACCACTCTGCTATGCTTCCTTCCAAGAAGGTGCTGCTTCTTTGGAAACTGAGTCTGCACTCTGCTGGGATCAGGAAAGTTGCCAGCTTTGCCTCCACTCCATCTTGGTGGGGTCCAGCTCCTTCTGGCAGGCCAGAACACCTGGCACCTCTTGGGGACCAACCAGGGGTGGATCCTCTTTTGTCCCAGCTCCCACTCACCTGAGAAGACAAGAAGCAGTGCTAGCAGCAGGTAGAAGGGAGTCAAGTAGACCAGGTGGGGAGGGGTGGGCATTGCGAGGATACACGCTGCTGCTGTTCTGCTGTCCGGTAGGTGCCGGAATCCACAGTGGAGCCTGTGAACAAGGCTGTTTCTTGTTCTTTTGGCCAAGGCTACTTGGGGAAGTGTTTTTACCACAGCACGAGAAGGCTCTGGTGCAAGAGGAAGGAGCTGGGTGGAGGGGTTTCCGGCTTCTGTGTCTGGAGTGGTTCTTGTAATCACTGTCAAAGCCATAATGACCCCTTGCCACAAGCCCTGTCCTAGGCACCTGACGGCGGGGAGAGGGGCACAGATGCAAGGGTGTGCCCTCTAGAGTCAGCCCGACTTTGCATCAAACCTTGGGGCTGCAACTTCCTGGCTGTGTGACCTTGTAAAGGTCATCTTGCCATCTCTGAGTCTTTGTTTCCTCATCTGCAAAATGGGCAAAGTGACAGTCTCCATCTCAAAAGATGTTTCTAGAATGAGATTATGTGTGGGAGGGCTCAAAAAAAAAAAAAAAAAAAAAAACCAAACCCATTGCTGTTGAGGCGAGTCCAACTCATGGAGACTCCATGTGTTACAGAGTAGAACTGAGCTTCCTAGGGTTTTCTTGTATGTAATCTTTACGGGAGCAGATCACCAGGCCTTTCTTCTGTGGTGTCATTGGATGTGTTTAAATTGCCAACCTTTAGGTTAGTAGTTGAGAGTAAACTGTTTATGCCACCCAGGGACCTTGTGAGGGCTAAGCACAATGTAAATGCTAAATATATTAGCCATCATTGTTCATAATGTGTAGGAAAAGGAGAAGGTGACATTTGCTTAAGAAGAAGGATTTCTTCCCATGAGGGTCCCAGGGAGGCTTCTTTCTGGCAGTGCAGGGAGAGCACAGACTTGATTCCTAAGTGTATAATCGTGGGCAACTTTCTAAACCTCCATTTCCTGGGGTCCAAATCTACTACACTCAAATTGTACAAAAACTTCTTTTTGCAGTATCTTAGCTTTTCTACAACTTGTCTAAACTTCCACAGGAGCCCCATCATGCTGGCTACCAGGGAGGGGAGCTTAAATTTGCAGTTAAAGTTATTGTAGGCCCTTCCAGGTTTAGATGCTTCCTGGGTTCAAATCTTGGCTCTACCCAGATCTGGCTGTGTGATCATAGGACCATTAGTTAAGCCTTTGTGCCTCAGTTTCCTGATCTGTAAAACAGGAATAAAATGATGGATGCATGTAAGGTGTGTGGGTAAGCACTGCGTAAACCACTCTTATTCTCTTTTGGACTAACTCAATCTTTCCAGAAAAAAAGCTCAGGCTTTCAGTGTTTCCCTTCCTCCTTTTCATTCCAGATGGTTCTTGGGTGCAAAGGAAACTAAAGTTGACTCCTGGGGCAGCATGATGGGCTTTGGGTCTGAGTGCTGTCACCTGGGTCCTTGGGGCCTAGTGTTTTTTAGGAGGAAGTAGGTCTGGTCCCTGAGAATTTTGCACTGGATCTGCTGAGGAGTGACCGGTCATGTCTGGCCCTTTGGGGCTGTTATAGATTGAATCCCCAACCCCCAACATATGTGCTGGAATCCTAGCCCCTATACCTGCAGATGTAATCCTGCTTGGAAAGACGGTTGTTATGTTAGTTAGATGATACCCAAGTGAGGCAGGTTCTAAGTCCAATCACTTCTGAGTTACAAAAAGAGTAAATTAGACAGAAACACAGGCACACATGGGGGAAGGCAAATGCCATGTGAGGATCCTCTACAAGCCAAGGAACCAAGGAATGCCTGGGGCTACTGACAAGGAAGGAATCGACATGGCCGAGACCCTGATTGGGACTTTTCACCTCCAGAACTGTGAGGTTAAATAAATTTCTGTTCTTTAAAGCCATCTATTTGCAGTATTTCTGTTACAGCACCACTAGGAAACTAAGACAGGGGCTTTGCCATGGAACCACTGCTAATTCCCATGGCTCTCTGTACCTGCTCTCCTGTTGAGGAGACCCATATATTGGAGGCTCTTTGAACTGACCACAGGCCTAAACAATTCCACCAGGCTCCCAGCACTTCCACATCATCCCCACAGGGGAAATATGAATCACCTGCTCATGTATGTGGATTCCTTTGTCAACTACTTTTCTTCTCAAATTTTACTTAGAAATAATTTTATTTCTTTTGATAGGTAAGGCATTGCATCAGTTAGCTATCGCTGTGCAACAAACCATCTTAAAACTTAATGGCTTAAAACAATAATCATTTATTTAATTCCTGATTGTGTGGGTTGATAATTCAGTCTGGGCTCAGCTGAGTGGCTCATCTGACCTCAGGGAAGCTTGGCTGGAATTGCTCATGTGCATGAGGTCATGTGCATGTGACTCTGCTACTGTAGGTTTTGCTGACTGTCTCCTGGGGTGCCTCAGCTATCCTCCACATGGTCTCTCA